GTATGTTATTTGAAACAAAAATAGCACAGAGTCCTTTGACAAGCTATAAAGCTTGTATGACCGATTTGCACATCAGTGTAACTGAAATATCCTGCCCACTTCAATGGCAACTGAGTGTACTGTCAGTAATATTTTCCATTGTTTTTAAAGCCAGCCACAGTAAAACATAAGGAAGGTATACAGTGACTAAACAAGGGGAGAAGAGTATTAAAGAGAAGCCTTTTAAATACAATTATATTTGATTTCTTTAAGAATATAAGGAATTACAATTAAATCTGTAAATGCAATTCTTCAAGGATTTTTACATTCCTATAAGATTCTTACTGAGCAATTACTCTTGAAATAGTACATAAATCTTACAGGACTCCCATTGGATTACAGTGCTTTAAGTTTTTAAGCAATTTCTTTTTATGGGTTTTATTCTTTTATTGCATTTTTTAAAAAGCAAGTAAGTTCTGGAATACCTCCTTTCACAACAAGTACTTTCAGAAATAAATACAGACCAACAATACAGAATGCAAAATGGACCTATATTGTATGTTATAGCTAGCTCTATCAATATTTCACATTCAAATTTTGCTAAGACATTGTGAAAAATGATAAAAGGTATCTGTGATATTTACAAAAAACAATAGTATGAAGTTACTGTTTAGTTTTTAGTATGTCTGTAACTTAATATTATGTGGATCATATTGACAGTAACAATATTGCTCATACGAATTGCACCACTTTTTTAATTAAAGTATATAATATAAAGTTACCATCAAGTACCAAATTAAAGAACCTAGAGGTGAACACAGCATGATCTGGCACATAATTATTTACAAAGAATGAAATGGAAACTTTATGGGTTAAAACCTTCTTGCCTTGATAAGAAGAGCAGTCCCACTAATTCCAATGGGACTGCTTGCGTGAATAGGGTGAATAGAATTTGGGCACATATCTAAAAATGCCCTTATAACTATAATGAATCAGTTTTCTGTTTAAGATGCTTACTGTATGAGCTCATTACTTGACAAACTGTGCTTGCATGAAAGTGATCTGTAACAATCCTTTAGCCTAAGGCCCTTTACTATTTGGTATTGATACATAGGATGCAATCTACATTTTTCATTTGGGCATAAAACAGCACAACTAGTGTAGCTGCATTTTTATTGTAAATCTGAAACAGGAAGTACAGACATTTCTTCCAAAACGTTTCTACTGGATTTTGGCTTGCAGGAGAGTAGTCTTTGTATGGAGGGGAAAAATAGAGGAGGAAAGGAATGACCCATTGCAAAATTCAGTTTCTTCCATGGTCAAGGGCATCTATTTCATTATAAATGTAGTTCCGCCAAAACAAATATTATTTTTGAATCTTTCATTATCTTAGTCTCTGGAAATGGGCTAAAACAGCATGTGTTGGTATTAGATGCTGCAGAGCCAGCTGTCGTGCCTGGCTGCACAGTGTCTCAATGTCAGCAGTTCAAAGCACTGCAAGGCTGAATGGGAGGAAACTTGATAGGTCAGTGGAACCCAATTCCAAGTAAAAAAGAACATAGCTTTCTTGTTTCTAGGGTTTTAAATGTTTTTATTTTTTATTTTAATACTTTTTCTTTAGCTATATTTTGATAAACTATGCTATAACCTCTAGCCAGAATGAGCTGTAGGCTACTCCAGTGACTGCTTTTCATGTTCATTTCTACTGGCTTCTCATAGTTGTATTTAGGGCTGTACAAAACAATGCCAGTTTGAACCATGCTGCTGCCTTCTTCAGTGGAAACCTCAGGGCATATATCAAGACTGTTATGACAGGGCAGAGAAAACCCTCAGAGACAGAAAACAGAAAACTGGTTTTGTACTGCTATGACACAACAAGGGCAGGCCAAAAACAAACCCCAGCCTTTCTCGGTTTTGTTTTTTCTGCTAAATTATTTTTAAGTTGCTTCTGATAAATCAGAAACACTGGTATGCAACATGACATACCTTTTGTTCCTCGCATGGCAAAGTGCTCATGTAAGCGAATGATGTGTACACATTCTTGATAGCTCAGTTATGTTGTTCTAAGCATTTCATCATTGATGCTCCTCTTGCCAAAAGAGAGAACTCCACAGAATCAAGATTTGATTAATGGAAATCAGCATTATTAATGCAAAAAAGAAGAATGTTAACAGTACACCTAAGCAGCACTATAGAATCTACTTCTTGAAACTGAACCCCTAGAGGTTCTAGTGCCATAGCACCCTTCATTAGTCGGTCACACGAGTATGCAGTTTGGGCATCATTAGCAATCTCTGAAATCACTGGTAAAGAAAAGCCATTCTTCATCTTACTATCTAACTATAGCACCTTTCACAATACATACGTGGAATGCAGAATGCAGGCCTGTAATACTACTAGACAGCTAATTCCTGAGGCAGACTGTCTGAAGCACTGCAAATAAGGCAGCTCAGAGATTTCAACTCTGCTGTTCATTTTCAAATTCATTCTTAAACAGTAGAAAAAAAGTGGTGAATGAGGGTCTCCTAAACACATTGTAAAACACATGCATCTAATTCTTCTAAGCTATAGTGCCCTCTGTTGGAAAACACATGGACAAAGAATATGCTGCTTGGCCTACAACACAAAAATAAACATCAGTATGCAAGCTCATAAATGTATTCTGTTCAGATAACAAAACTCTTGGCTTATAAGTAAATTTCTATTATCATTCTACAGCTCCTTCCTGTATAGCCAAAACTAATGCTATCCTAGTATATCCCTGCAGTATTTTTCCACTCAGCTTTCACTATCTTCTAGACAAGTAAAATCATTTTCCCAACGCTACTTTTTCAATAGAGGGAAAAATCAGAATAAAATTATCAGGGTCAAAACCATTTATTTTATAATTATATTTTTACTCATATAGACAAACTATGTGTAAATCTTTTTTTATAGCCTTATATTTTACAGTACAAGCAGACAAATCTTAATAACTGATACCTCAGACAGTGTTCAAATTAACACTTTACTGGCCCCTAGTTCTATCAGCACAAAGAGCAGTAGGCTGAGCTGGTGGTGCTTAGATATCCAAGTGCCAACGTACAACCTGATGCTTATATACCTAAATGACATCAAATGCACCTGCAAAAGATTGTAGACACAAAAAATGTACCTGCAAATATTTGAGAGTGAAAGCTGCAAGCAAAGAACCGGAGGCTGAATGAAATTTTGCAAAAAAGTTGATTTTCCAGATTTTAAATATTTTATCATTACTGAACTTACAGACACTAGCCACATTTACTACTTCAATGGAAGAATAAGAAATGATACACTGTAGAAGAACACATGCAAATAACTATAAAGAAGCAGCTAGTGATGTAATATTTAAAAAAGGTTCAAGTTTACATTAGGCATCATGTTCTTTTGTTGGTATTATAAAAAATAAAATACACCCAAACTGTACATATTATAAGGGTATATTTTTTATCTCACGGTTCTAGTGACATGTACAAACCACTTGAGCTTTGCTTTCGTGGTTTATATTGCCACCAGAAACCCTTGATAAAAATACAGCCTTATATTGTACAGTTGGGTATAGTTTATTTTCTCCATATATCACGCACTGTGTATTATTTACACACATACAGCCTGACACGTGGATATGCAAAACAATTTTAATTAAGTAATTCTACAATATTGATACTACCATATTTGCTAAGTTACATATTGCAATATAAAATTCCTTTGTTAGCAATAAGCTTTCTAAAAAAGAGACACCTATAACAATATGATAAAGCATTAAAAAAAAAAATCGGTATTTTTGTGTAACAATTTACAACTCTTTTACAAGAATCTTTTTTTTTTTAAATAATCAGAAATTTTAGCTTCAATAGCCTTTGACTATCTGTATATTCCATGGATAACCTTCACAAAATAAAGCTTTGTCCCTTACAAAGGAGATTACTGAATAACATGTGATTATGAAAAGTGAAATAAAACAAAATGTTACGTAAAATTAGAGAATTACTGATTAGAAAGATAACTGAAATGAATTACACTTCCAATTTTTTCAGCACGCTACTGCAACTTAACAATTGCTTAGTTTGAAAGAAACATTTATTTTAGCATAAAGTACTTTATCAGCATCTATTTTTCTACCTACGATCTGCAATGTTAATAAAGACAAAATAATTTTTATTCATATCTTTTAAGCATCTTTAACAATTTGAAAAGAAAAGCTGTGAATAGGCAATTCAATAGCCATTTCCTTTTGAATGATTCTCAATGTGTTTCATTAACAACTGTTTACGTAAAACATCATTTCAACAGTTCAAACATCAAAGAAAACAGGAGAATCTTGGGCACCAATCCTGGCAGAGGTACAAGCTTTTCAATCTGGACAAATACAAAGCTGGGCAGGAATAGGGAGGTGTGTGCTGTAGCTTTTGCATTTCATTTTGCTCTCAGAAACACGCAAAGGCTTTAGACTGCCGGCTGTCCCCTCTGTGAGCCAGATGCTTCCTTAGAGGGGCAGTTGCACCTAACATTTGCCATGCCCCTCCCACTCCCTTATCCTTGCTTTAATGGACATTAAAAATAGAACAAAACAGGACTGGAGATGGGAACAAAATACATGCACAACAGGCACAGTCCGCTGTACTCATTCTGCTGTAAAATGTAAAAACAAGAAAGGGCATACAAGCTGCGTCCCCTAGGACACATCCAGCTTTTTTAATATAGTAGTGCCACCACACATTTCACTTCGGATGTTGTATTATATTTATATGTCACTCAAATATTTACCATTTTCCTGAATTCTACTGTGTGTTCTGAAAGCTTGTTATAAGCCAAGTATCTTTGGTTATGTGTTTTGGCTGTATAACAGCTGTGGCTGAACTGCATCAATATGCTAACTTTTCTTTCTGAAGCTTCTCATGTGACAAAAGCCACTCTTTCAAATGATTTCCTCCTGTATAGTTGCCAGTCTGTCCACTGCTGCAAATCACTCGGTGGCATGGTATTATAATAGGGAGCTGAAAAAAATAAAATAAAAATAAGGTTTGTGAAATATTTGTCTGCCTTTTCTTGAGTTTATTATGAATTGTGCTACTTGTGGTCAACTCTTGCATCTACTTATAGATCTAAATTTCCCGCCCCCCAGCAGGCCCTGCTTGGGGGTCAGTAAGGCTAGGGCACCCTGCAGAAGCAACTGCTACAGTACAGACGGGCTCCACAGGCTATTCCTTCCTATGATTTGTTTATGGTGAATACTATGTACTCCCCTACCCCCTAGCTCTCACTGCAACTAACTGTGGAAGCAGTGCATACCTAGGTCCAAAGAACAGCAATCAGTTATGAGCAGACAGAGAACCCAGGGAAGGTGGTTAAAGAGTGTGCAAGGACAGCAGGGAACAAAAGGGGCTGGAGAAGCAGGGTGCGAGAAATGATATGTCCCTGCCTCTGCTGAGAGATTGTATTAACTTAAGGGCTAATCAAGTGGTCATTTACAGCACGGGAGTGTTAGGTGCAATGTAAAGGGCTGATATGGGGCACCTGAGAAGTCTATGGAAAAGAGTATACTTGTACCATGCGGGGAGTGGAGAAATATTTCTCACTGATACTTCTGGCTGTTTAAGAACTGCAACTGATAGGAGTAGGAAAGAAACCCTAAATTCAGTTCTGCAGGGGGAAATAAGCATCAGGTTTTGGGCATAGGAGGTAAGGGATTAAAATTGGGAAAGAGAAGAGATCAGCAACATTCCTAAAAAGGAGTCTCTCTCCTCTCCAGGAGCAAGTGAAGTCCACATACAAAATACTAAACATTCTATCTGAGAAAAATGCCATTGCTCTGCCTTCCCCACACTTCAACAACAGACTCAGAACACACAATCGGACAGCTCGGTGATTGATAATGGGTTATGAAGTCTCATTCACAGACCAGTGGCCAAAATAAAGCTTAGATTGTTAGTGGCCAAAAGTCCATCCGATCAGATAGCAGTTCGGTGGTCTACATGAAATGAGTTGGTGGTTTCAGGCCAGTTCCCAGTGAAGCAGGTCACAAAAGCTGCTGTCACAAATGTCACTCTTGGCAGTGTCAGCAGACAGGAAAAGGAATGACTGAGCCATAGAGACTGAACTACTATCTCTTTCAAGATGGTCCTCCTTTGTTTAGGGTGAAACATATGAGGAAGACAAAAGACTTCCCTTTCCCAAGGACCAAAATTTCTCCTATAATACAAAAAGAAAAAAAATTCTAACAACTGTAATCAAAGGAATAAAAGTCTT